TGTGTTCACACACACACACACACACACACACACACACGTGCGCTTTCCCCTTTCTTTTCTGGCTGAGGCTTGTCAGCCCTGTTCAGGCACTTGGATCCTGGTGGGGATCCTGGGCACCTGTGTCCCACAGAGGGTTTGGCACTCAGCAGCCACTTGCCATGCATGTGTCCCCGTGGGGGACGGGATGCTCTGGGTACGTCCACATGGCCTCGCCTCCATTGGCTGCTGTTTGAAGAGCCTCTGCCCTGGCAATGCCCCACTGGCCGCTTCCACCGAGCTCGAGGCTGGCCAGCCAGCTGTGTGGCACCCCCTCTGCTGCTAGACACACAAGACGCAGCGCCCCAGTGTGTAGCTCGTCCTCCTCTTGGCTGTGGCTGCTGACGGTGGAGTCAGCACGACTGCATGGGGTGAGAGCTCCTTCTTGCCAGTGTACCTGCCACGTGCTGTTTCTCTGATCCTTCTCTTCAGGGGACCCCAGGCCTTCTCTCTGAGGTAATTGCACATAGCAGGGATAGCCAGCTTGGAAAGATCCAGACCCTCATGGCAGAGCCTGCCAGACACTGCCTTAACAGAATGAAAAAGATCCCAGGGCCTAGACAGACCTTCCAGAATCTTCTAGGCCATTCCCCAGGCTCCAGGCACTGAATGTTAGAATACAGAGGACTCAGGCCTATTCCTATAGCTCCGCTCCTGCAATGGGAGCTGTTTGTTCTCCCCGCAGGGAAGGTGGCAAGAGCTGGTTACCTGCATCAGGGAGCTGAGCTTGGTAATAAACCACCCCAGGTTCTTGGGAGTCGCTTCTACCAATATACATTGATTTCTTGCTCACACCACTACACTGCAGGTCAGCTGGGGATTCGGTCCAGGCCATCGTGGCTCTGGGACCCAGGTTGACGGGGTGGCCCCGGTTGCAGCACCACAGAAGGAAAGAGATCACGGACGGCGTACTAGCTCTTAGCGTTTCTGCTCCCTGTGCCATTTGTCACTTCCATTCAACATTTCACTGGCCAAAGCGAGTCATGTGGCCATGCCTAATTTCAAAGGGAATGAGGCAGTCTGATCGTTTCCTGGCCAGTGGCCTTAGTGACCACTGTGCATGCTGGCGGCTCCCGTCCCATGGAGCCATCCTGAGTTCCCGTCACACTGCTTGGATGCTCATTCTGAGTCTAGTGTGCAATGCTCTTCACTGCCCACCCAAGGGGCTGTGTAATACACACTCCTGGGGGATTTTGTCCACGCCTGGGTCAGTTATCCATCACGAGTCACAGACCACCCCAAAACTTAGTGGTTCCATGTGACAAAATTTCATAGAAACACACACACACACACACAGTGCTTAAATAAGGTCTGTGCCTGAGTTAGTATATTGGATCAAGATCAATTTCCTGGTTTTGACAATGTGCCACAATTATGTGGGATATTATCACTGGGGGGAGCTGGGTGAAGGGTACATGAGAAATCTCTGTACTCTCTTTGCATCTTCTTGTGGATCTTCAACTATTTCAAATTAAAAAGCTGTAACGGTAATAATACAGGCTTAGTGGCTTAACACAGCAACGGTGCATTTACCCGTGACTGCCATGTGGGTGGAGCTGGGGGGGAACAGCTCATCCCTGCCCTCGTGGGACTGGTGGAAGTGGCTTACTCATGCGTCTGGTATGCCAGCCGGGGTTGCTGGAGACAGGCAGGCAGCTGTCCCCCGCCAAGGTCTGTCCAGCAGGGCAGCTGGGCCACTTTACGTGGTGGCTGTGGGCCCAAGGGGTGAAAGCGGAAATGGTCAGGCCTCAGGTTTCCACTGTCAAGGCGGTCGCAGAGCCCGCGCAGATTCAAAGGAGAAGAGTAGATGCCACCTCCTGACGGGAGGGGCGGTGTCTTCAGTTCGTTGCCATCACCAGCTGTGTCTGAGGCTTCTCGATCTGCCACCCTGGCTCCAGTCCAACTCCCTCACCTGGGCCGTTGGGGGTGGAGGCTGGAGAAAGGAACAGCGTGGGCCACGCGGAGAGCAGAAAGCGTCACCGATTCGGGGGCAGAGCTGGACAACCCCCCCCCCAAGGCTCAGCCGCCTCACCTCCTGAAGCCCGGGCTGGGTGGCGGGGCCCACCTCACCAGCCTGGCACCGCTGGCTGTCGGGGAGTCTGTTTTGCACACGCTGGTGTTTGCAATCAGAAAGTTCAGCGGCCCTTCCAGTGTGCTGAAATTAGTCCCCATGAAAACCAAATCATTTCATTTGCAGAGAAGGGCTTAATTGCAAGGGGAAGGAGGCAAAGGGAATTCTGGTGCCTGTTTTCATTGAAGAAAATTGCTGTACTTTCCCTTGTCTACTTCCTAAACAGAAGCGGCTCAGAAATTGGGCTGTAATCACCAGTGATACCTCTGCTCCCCTTGCTTCTCAGAGTTTGTTGAGTCCCCTGCTCCCGAGCCCCTGCTCCGGACTGTCCCCGCCTGCAGCCTGGAACCTGCTGCGGGAGGCAGCCCCTCCACGGTGGCCGGCAGTCTCGGCACACCGCTGCTGCCATGTGGAGGGGTTCGCCCTTGAGGTCCCGGGGTCCTCAGCCCTCCACTGGCCCTGACTCCAGGAGAGTAGGGAGGAAGCCACGTGGCGCCCTGGGAGAAGAGCTGACCCGCTGGAACAGCAAATGCAGAGGCTTGGTGGAGCAGTGGGCAGGTCAGGGCGAGGGCGCAAGGTGTGTGGCCTGAGCAGAGTGGGGGCAGGCATGCAGGCGGGTCAGAGGAGCCTCCTAGAGCCTCTGTGAGGTCCTGGCTCTTTCCCGGGATGAGGTAGTTTACTGTTCTGGCGAACCCAGCGCAGCTCAACAAATCGTGAGTGGCTCCCCTTACTTTCTTTGGAGAAGGGAAGAGAGCAGGGCTTAAGAAGACAGGCTCTGGAGCTGGAATGTCTGGGTTCAAACCGCAGCTCCGCTACTTGACTGACCAACCCGTGCCTCAGTTTCCCCCGCCCCCGTAAAGGGGTAACAGTAGCACCTACCACATGGGGGTGTGGTGGCCGTTCAGTGGGCTACAGCTCACTAGGAGCATGTCGTAATGCTATCATGTGTTGGTTAATTTTACCATTTCTCTCTCAGTAACGTCCCTTGCTACAGGGATAAAGTGATTGGTCAGCCCAAGGTCCCAGCCAATAAAGGACAGAGTCGGGCCTGAGTATGCTGAGTGCCCGCCTGCCCCCCACCGCTTGCTCGGGTACAGCACCAGGTGGCATGCTGCCCCCCCCCACTTATCCCCTCTGCCTCTTTTCCCTGGTGCACCATGGGCCCCTCTGTCCAGATTCTCTCCTTATCTCTAGAGCTTTATCTGGGGACAGGGGTGGAGAAGCTGGCCTGGCGGCCCGAGGAGGACTGTTCGGAGCACTTGGGCCGAGTTACTGTCTGACCACTCCGCTGCCCCTTCCCTTGGTGGAGGCCGACAGGATAATGGATTTGAAGTCTGCACACCTGCCTCAACGAAGGGATGTGTGTGTGTGTGTGTGTGTGTGTGTGTGTGTGTGTGTGTGTGTGTGTGGCTCAAAGTCAATGGTGTATTAATTAAGGGGAACAGCTGCTACTGCAGTTCTTCTGATAAGTCAGTGACAAATAGCCGTGTTTACCTTTCTTCTGAGCAGAGGCTCCGGAAGATGGCCTGGAGCTCCTGGGTGGATGTCCATGGCCGAGATTTGTGGGGTTCCACTGCCGAGATTTGTGGGGTACAGCCTCTCCCTCCCTCACCCCCCCAAGCTTCTTTATCCATGCCACCAAGCCCAAGAGGGCTGTTTGTCACTGAGGAAAGACCAGTCTGCAGCCTGGGGAGCCTCGGAAGGGACCGGGCAGAGCAACGGAAACTTCTCAACAATGGCTCCCACTAAAAAAAGAGGCCCCCGGACCCCCTCCTCAGGCAGATCCCACCGCCCTGCCCTGTCCCTTGTGCAGTCAGAGCTGCTTGAAAGAGAGACTTGGCCCTTCAAAGCAGAGGAGGGCTGCCGGGCCGGATCTGAGGCTGTGCGGCAGAGGACGCACCTCCGGGCCTTTGTGCCTTCGCTCCGTGCTCCAGAAAGGCAGGGGCCGGCTGGCAGGGGCCTTTTATTTCGCTTATTTTGATCTCGCTCCCGCTCTCCAAACAGCCTCACAGAAATAGAGCCGTGCATTAGCTCCCTTCTCAGCTTAAAACAAAACAGGGCAGAGGGAAAAATCTTTCCCCGAAAAACAGAAATGGGAAAGGTGGGCTCATTTTTGTCTGGGTTGTGTTTCTGGGTGCTCTGACGATCAGTTTCTCCACCAAATTTCCCGCAGATGGTGCTCCCGTGCCAGCCACCACCTATAGGTGGGACTGTGGGGAGGGCGCAGCAGGGCCGACTGAGAAGGAAGGGCTGCCCCCATGCCTGCAGCTCTTCCCCACACCCCACCGTGCCCTCAGGGTCGGGGCTGCCCTGGCAGAGAGTGGTGGGACCCCGGAAGCTCAGCGGACCCTTGCCCTGCACACTCGTGCTGGCCCTGCGCCCTCCCAGACTGCGCCCGGGCCTCCGCAGTGGTGGGGGCCCAGACACTAGTCTGCGGGCGGACAGTAATCTCCGCCTCCTCAGAGACACCATCAGCTGCCAAGGAGCCCCATCCAACCTCACTCTGCTCTTCCTTCCTCCCCCTCCCAGGGCTGAGAGGGGCTCAGCACCCCCGGGGAGCCTCTGGGGCCCTGAGGGGAGGCAGAAATGGGGCCAAGGAAAAAAGGTTCTGCTGCCCCCCACCCCCTGGGACCAGGTGGGCATGCTTTGAGTCCACCCTGCTGGGTATGGTAGCCACGCAGAGTGGTAATGGGGAAACTAAGACTCTGGGAGGTTTTGTGGCTTGCCAGAGAGCCCGGTGGTGGAAAGGTTGGGGCCGATAGCAGGGTAAGGCCCCTGCTCAGCGCCCCCCACCCCGCAGCCTCCTCTTCCGGCTGACCTCTCTGCAGGCTGCCATTCCTTACAACGTTGCTCTGGGGGGTAAAGGGAGAGAACCACGGACGAGAAACACATCCATTTTTAATAAATAGTTTATTTATCCAACAGTTTCAACCCTGATATTGAAGCCTGTTGCAGTGTTACTTATTCTTCTGGCTGGAGCCTGATTACGAGACCATTTGCCACGGGGCCGGGACTCGGATTCCAGCCCCGCGGATCATCCAGACATCAGAGGAAATGAGAGAATATTGCTCAAATGAGGGAGACTGGAGCTTTATTAAGGAAACAAAAAATACCAGGAAGACCGAAAGGGGGTGATTGATGCCTCTGGAGGCAGCTGTTCGGGCTCCTCCGCGCGCCCCTCTCCCGCCTGCCGCGGTTGAGAACATACGGGAACGAGGCTGTGTTGGAGAGGCCCCCCGCCAGGGCGTTTCTGGAGCGGGGCTCCCGCGCGGCGGGCCCACGGGCTGGCGGGGGACCTGGAGGGTCTGCGGCGGCGCAGGCACGCTCGCGGGCGGCCAGCAGGGGGCAGCCGTGCGGCCCCCGCGCCCACCGGGTCCGTGCCGCATGTTCTGGCTCCGCGGCCCCACAGTGGGGCCCGCTGTGGTCGCCCTAAGTCAAGGTGACCGTCGCACAGCGGAGGCGGGGCACTCCCAAGGTCCCGGAATCCACATCGTCGCCCGCTGCAGTACCGTGGCTGCGGGTCTGCTGTAGACCCGCGACTCGGTGAGAAGCACCACTGAAGAGCCCGGCCCTGCCTGCGGGCAGCCCTACCCTCCTGTCTGCTCCCGGGCCCCTGTGCCTGCTCCAGGTTCCTCTCAGGAGGCCACACCGGCAGCTCACTCCCCTGACCTGCGGGTCCCGCGTGCCAGGACCTGCATTTCTAGACAGTTCTTCTACAGTACTTGTTCTACTTTCTAGCACCTTCCCCCTTCAGGATAAAAGAGGCTCAACCCAGCTAGAGGACAGGCTTTCTCCCCTCACCCTTGAGCTCCCAGGTAACACCCTCTGAAGGCACATGGACCAAACTGCTCCCCAACCCCTGCCGCCCCAGCCTGCCGTCCCGACCCACCTCCCACAGGCACGATGCCCACCCTGCTGAGTGCTCACCAGCGGTGGGAGAGCTCCAGCCCACCTAACTGCACACTTGCTCGGCAGGGTCTCACCGCTGCTGCTCTTTCATCTTTTCTATGCATCAAAACCAAACCCTTCTCCCCTTTTCTGCCAGCAATCGGGGCAGAGAGGATTGGACCAATGCAGAGGACAAGCTACCCACCTGGCCTCTGGCTCTCTCCCTCCCCGGCCCTTCAAGGAAGCCCATGCTTTCCTACAAGCTAATGTCTGAAGAGTCCTACAGAGAGACCTTTGGAACCAGAGTCGGGAGGAAGGTGAAAGTCAAGGCAAGTGTGAATTCAGCACTGGCAGGTCTGGTGGCCTTCTCGCGCCCCTGGAGGGGACTGGCCTGGGACAGGCCGACTGGGAACAGGCCCCCCCCCGCCCGGGATTTATCGCTCTGAGTCGGAGAAGGAAGAGGGCTTAGTCCATCTCCACACCAGCATATCTTCTCCAGCCACGCGATGGGACTCTGTCTGGATCCGGGATTCATTGGACGCCAGGAACTCCACAGCCCGGTCCCAGACCCGCTTCATGCGCCTCCTGCAACGAGAGGGGCCAGGCTGAGCAGACCAGCAGCGCCCCCGGAAGCTCTTCTGGCACGGCCCAGAGAAGCGAGCTGGCCTGTGCACACCCTTTGTACAAACTGGGGACAAAACTCTGGGAGCCCACGCAGAATTTATCTGTGGGAGGAAAAGGCGTCAGGTACTAAGAACTCCTGCAGGGGAGAGAAATTTCTTGAGCCACAGAGAAACGATTCCTCAATCTTCTCTGCTCTAAAAGCATTCAATTAAAGGGAGCTGAACGGAGCCGAAGGTGTCCAGAGCACCCCCCGGTGTCCAAGGGCCTGTTCCTGCAGCAGCCGTGGCCAGGCGGCCCCCCACCAGTGCTGGCTGCATTTTAATGCCCCATGTGGGCCAATCAGAGTGGCCACTGGGCTGTTGAGTCCAAACTCGACAGTACTTTGGAGTGTGGGAATGAGCTCAGCATCCAACTGGGGAGGCCAAGAAGCTGGAGCTGCTCCTGGAACCGGAGCTACCAGGCAGGACCCCTTCTCTGCTGGGTCCCTGGGGCCTTGCATCCCCTTGGACACCCCCCTATAACCTCTTCCTCCTCCAGACTAGACAGGAAGATTCCAAGGCAGTCAGAGAAGGCTGCTTTGACGTCTTCTCTTTGATGAGTTCCTGTCTTTTATCAGCTCTGCAGACTACCTCCCCATGACCCCTCGCGTGGAGAGGGACTGTGGGTATGAACGTGTGGGAGCAGGAAAGGTTCAGCCTGGGGGAGGACAAAGGAGTGAAGCTCCTGAGGTGGCCTGTGGGTTGGGAGTCAGAGTGGGGGTGCCGGGGTTTTCTACCTCAGAGGTCAGGTCCTGTCGCCAATGGCCCCTCAGCCTGTTTAGCAGTCCCCACTTGGCTGGTCCAGCCCCAGCCCTCCCTCCCATGTGCCCATGAACAGGCACGGAACAAGCCCGTGTGAGCCAGGCTCCCCAGCCCTCGCTCAGTCTCACGGGCAGACCCTCCTCTGCAGGGCAGACCTGAGGGGGCCCCACGCAGGGCCGACAGCAGTGATGTGTCCTCACGCCTTGAGGGCTCAGCTGCACGGACCGGGGGGCCTGGGAGATAAATTGAGAGGCTGAGAGCCAACAGGGGGTGAGTCTCCCGGGGTTCACTGCCAGGGCTCAGTCCCTGCGGGCCGCCGCACGGGTGCGGAGGCCGGGTGGCTCAGGCCGGAGACAGGAGGCAATGGCGCTCTTGCTGGTACTTCGGTCGACGTGTGGGCTGTGCTAACGGAAGGCCGAGCAGTAAGGGCTGCCCTGGGACGAGCGCCCTAGTGCTAGGCTCTGACTTAAGACCTGCGAGCCCATCTCTCGACAGCCCCACTCCCCTCTTCCTGGGACTTGTCGCTACCCAACAGCACAGTTTCCTTCTGCCTTTCTCACCTCTCTTCCTCCTGAGTACCAACGCTCCAGCAGGGCGGGGATTTGGGCTTCTTCCGCTCCCCACCGTCTCCCCGGGTGACCCAGGAGTGTGTGGCCCACAGCAGGTGCTCAGTAAGCATTTGTTGAGTAAATGAGGGCTTCACCGCAGCCCTCTGCAAGGCGGTGGTGTTACCTCTGTGTTTTGGATGAGGAAACTGGCTCAGAGAGGCCATTAACGACTCCGGGCAAGCCAGGAATTCGGTGGCAGCATGAATGCACCATGTCCTCCCCATGGAGGGCCATGCGGCTGCCTCACGCTGGGCACCAATAGCAGCACCAGCCAATGCCGTGATCCATCTGCTCTCCCTAAGCTTCCTGCCTGCACCTTCCCAAGGAGTAGGGTGGGCTTGAAAGTTCTTAAGCATCTTCACCTTTAAAAGGGGCCTTAAATGTTTTACTCTTCCAATTCCTCTTGGGTTGCACAGAAATACTACCAGCAGTGGGCCTCGAGCAAGTTCCTTGGCCTCCGCGTGCCTCGGTTCCCTTATCTGTAAGATGGGCTACTCGCTCTCTCACCTCCCGGGGCCACAGTGAGGACCGAGCGAGTGGGGCTGTGTCCGTGGAGGGCCCAGGGCAGTGCCAGCTCACAGCGAGCGCTCGGCACCCTCTGAGAGGATGGTATCTGGCCCGAGACCGCAGCGAGCTGCTGAGCGGGGCCCACGGTCTGGGCCGACACCGCGGCACGCCCTGCTGACTGGTCCCTGGGACCCCATCCTCCAAAGCTACCCCACACTGGGTCTTGTCGGGGTCCATCCAGCATCCGCAGCCCAGGCATGCCCATGGCCTGCTGTCTCTTCCTGTGCAGCTGGGCGCCCTGGAAGCTGACCCCAGCCAGTGCCGAGGAACTCTGCTTCAGCTACAGGCACACACGTGTACATGGGCCTAAGCGCGTGGGAAGCGAACCATGATATTTTAGGTAACGTGTCGTGGGTCATGGTTAAAAATGTTTGAAAAACAATCTCCTCCTCGCTAGTGACTGATTCAAGAATAGACAAGTAACCCGTTCTGGCCAGCAGGGCCTCGAGGAGTGGGTCACTGGCAGCTTCTGGGAATGTTTTCTCCTGCCCGTGAGGGCGACCCATCTCTCCCCTGCTGGTGGTGACAAGGCAGATGCTGACCCCGCTCCTGCGGGCTACCACCTTGTGACCAGGAGGAACTCTAACCAGCCTACAACATCCATGGGGGCCGGGACAACAAGCATCACAGAGAACTGGAACCAGAGACCCGACTATTCTGTGCCTGGAGCCCACAGGACTCTGGACTTGCACTCACAGCAATGCAGCCTGAGCCACTGCGGGGAGGAGGGCACTAGTGCCTGCCACCCAGAGCTCCCCGGTCAGCAAGGACGCTAACAGAGGAGTGGGCTCCCACTGCCCTACGTCGTCTGTGCGTTCCGCTCCCAAGAGCCGAGCGCTGTAGCGGTGGCAGGAGGCATGCACGGCCCCCTCACCTGTGCTCCTCGGGGCTGAGCTGCCCCCCTCCCCCCCATAACTGATGCTCTGGGCCTCCTTCTGTGGCACTTGGCGGGCTCAGCCCAGGACTCACCGGCTCTGCGGAGGGATCAGGGTGTCGCGCACGTGCAGGATGCCCACGTACGGGTAGCGCTCCATGTCCTGCTCCCAGTCCACGTAATGGTCCTGGACCACGTCTGCAGGGTAGGACAGAGGGCACCGTTTAGGGCAAGGACCTTCTGGCAGGTGCCAGTGGTCCTTTCCCCAGGGGCCACACACCTATAATCTTCTTCACCATCTCGTACATGGCTTGTTCTTCTTCTTCCAGCTTCCGCCACCGGTATTTCAGGAGGATCAGGAGCCCCCACAGAAAGGCCAAACCTATGAGGGAACACAGGCCCCGTGAATCCGCCACATCGCTTCTGGCCGCACGAGTGTCCTGACTACCTACTACGTGTCAGGCCCAGGCCGGCTGCCGCTGACACAGGATGTGGCGATGCAGAGGGGAGGCAGGCTGTGAAGTGATCATCTTCCTCCTGCTGGCTGTCACCACAGAGACCTTCCCAGCTGTCCAGATTGCGGCTCCTCCCAACCTCATTCCGGGCCTTTCATCTCCTCCCTCATGCACCGGAACATGGCGTTTCATACATATATACATGCAGGGCCCTTTGTATTCCGAGATGCTGCTGCCGATAATGATGTGTGTGCCTGATGGTGTGGGTGAGGGAGCCGTGTGCATGCCCAGATGGCCTGTGATTTTTAACTCCGCCATGTCTACAGAGCGGGCAGTTTCTATGACTCGGCCTTTCACCTTCAGAGATACCCCAAGGTCTCTGCTCAAAGGCAGCCCCTGATGTCAGGCGACAAGACCCGTGCTCTGCTTTGCAGCTCAGCCCCCTGCGTCCATCCTGCTTTCATCGGGTACCTAGATCTCCCGAGGAGATGTTTACATTGTTCAGGAAGTAAAATTAGGCCAAGGTCCTGCTGCGCCTTCTCCTCCTTTGAGAGGCTTGCCCTCTGGGGCCCTGGGGGGTGATGATGCTGGGCTCCAGCCAGGGCCAAGCTCCCCCCTCGGGGACACTGATCGTCCCCAACCCTGATCAGGGATATTTTCCAGTTACCCTCATGCTCCTGCCACTAATCTCTAAAGGTAAGATGACCCAGGGCAGAGGCTGACTTGTTCATCTCCTCTGTTTTATTAGACAGACCTCAGGTTCACTAGACAGAAATGAACTGTCTGGGCTTGGGTTTCTGTATCACTCATGCCTGAGAGTGTCACTGAGCTGGGCTCCCGGGAGGTGCTGTATGAGCAGTCCCAACGGCAAGGATGGGGTCGGGGGGAGAAGGGCAGCCAAGGACTTACACCAGAAGAAGATGAGCACATTGGTGACCGCGGTGAACAGGGCACGGCTCAGGCGGCAGCCCACACCCATGCGGGGGCGGGCAGATTCCAGGCAGACCACTTTGTCCACAGTCGTCACCAATTCCGATGGGTCTTCCCCCTTCAACCTGAAACAGGACACAGGGCTGCAATGGCGTTCAAAAGCTCCCAGGAGCCGCGGAATCAGCCCCACTTTAAAGCAGAAAGAGAAAAAAGGAGGAGCTTTGAGGCCTCTACTTGCTTATGAAATAGACTTGGTATCCTGGTTGCATGCTTTCCAGAAATTTCCCACGTTGGTTACTTAGAAAGAATAAAGCTTTAAAGACGGCAGCAGGCTTGAACCCCTACCGCTAAAGTGACATCCCCCTCTGTCGGGTCTTTTGACAGCCCCTCTCAGCGTGTGGAAGATTAAACTGTAAATTGGATTCCCACCTCCCAGCATAGAGAAATGGAAATGTTTACTGAATCGCTGGCTTTGCACTGCATGGCAGGAACTGAGAGAGTCTGGGAGGGTGTGCTTTTCCTTGGTGACGGTGACAAGGAGGCACATAGGCTGTTTAAGTGTAAAGATCGGGGTGCCATGAGGCTCGGGGAAGGACAACCACCAGGCTCTCTGAGGCCAGGCCCCAGCCCCATCGCTTCCACCCTGGTCCCTGAGAGGCGGTGTCAGGACACGTAAGGATGCCCACGCTTGCACCTTCTTCCAGCTAGGTGACCATCTTGTGCTCTGGACAGCACACGGGAATGCCCAGTATCTGAAGTGTCCCGATATCTCACGAACCCACTTTGAGTACTGGTCCTCTGAGCTGGGCTTGGCCACCCTCCCGACGGCCTTCCCCCAGTGTGAAAAGGTGCATGCCATCCTTCTGTGCTAGCAGCTTTGGTGAGTGCTGCCGAGGCTTAAATCCATATTCTCCTCCCCTGTTCCTAACACACAGGAAAATCGCTCAGCCACTCAGGGAAGCTTTATTTTTTTTAAGTCAATGAATTTTAATCGTGCCCTGCATCTGGTTATCAAGCTTTAGCTTGAGTTGCCTGAGGGGCTTCTGGTAGAGGCGTGGCTGATGGAATTAGTTGTCTGGGTGGATTAGAGACGAAGGGAACAAAACCCTAGAGTGTATTTGAATATCAGGAGCTGTGGCCTGAACAGTCCCCGACAAACCCTGGGAAAGGGGAGGGAGTGCCAGCGTGAAGAGCTCTGGGGGATGGGGGGTCTGGTGGGGGGAGCATCGCTGGGGTGCCCCTCCCCAATGGGCTGAGCAGCCAGATGGGGCTTCTCAGGAGGGTGAGGGGGCTTGCTATCTCTGCTAACAGTGCTCCCCAGAGATAGAAATGAGGTTGAACTGCCCAGTGAGAATAAAATTCAGTATTTCCTTTTGCAACATCCATGCTGAGTGAAACCAACAGACAGAAACATTTCATCTAGTAATGAAAACTAGCACCGGATGAAAGGAAGTTCAGAAAAATGCCTTCTCTAGCAACCCATGTGGGACCAGTGAATTCAAAGGGCGCAGAGTGAGTTACTTGAAACGCTTAGCTGGAACACTAGGCTCACGTTCTAACACCTGGATTTTGTGTCTTATCTTGAAATGGCTCCTTACGCTGCCCCACCGAATGCTTCTTCCTTCCAATGCCCGGCTGCAGGCTTAGCCCGCAAGGACTCAGCTGGGACACCTGCCTCTAACTTCAGCCCCAAGACACATCTGTGAGCACACGGCAGTGGGCCGATGGGTGAGGACCATGGTCGCGGGTGCCCGTGGCGGTGCTGCCACACTGTGAGGCCTCGCCCACACTCACCAGATGCCCACGTCCTTGTTACTGCTCAGTATCCAGGTCAGTGCGGCTTCAAACTTGGCGGAGGAGTTGCCGGTCACATTCTGTGGGAGGGGGCGGGAAATTAGTGCTGTGTCTGGGCGGACCAGCTGGAACATTATTCTCCTGCTGGATTAAGGAGGCCCTCTCCCCTGTCCTCCGCAGGCCCCAAAGCCCCATTCTGCTAAATGCACAACAAAGTGGCAGGTGAAAATCTGGGCTGATGCTAGCCAAGAAAGAGCTCTATTGGGAAGAGTCGATGCAGAAGCACACAAGAAAGCAACGCAGGTCTGAGGTAGCCCAAACCAAAACCAAAACCTTTCTCAAGGACCAAAGTGTGAGGCCAGAGAGCTGGCAGCTCATCTTGGGGAAAATGAAAAAAAGCGTGGGGATGGCAGGGGCAGGGGGGCGGGGAGGTGGGTGCCCGGTGGCCAGTCCCTGCCCCTCTCCGGGCCTCAGTATCCTCATCTGGGAAATGACAATGAGCTAGGTGACCCCTAAGGTTTCTGCCAGTTCTGAAGTTCCAGAATTCTATCAAACTGGGGCCAGGCCAATAGTCAAATAGACCCTGAGCAATCTGCACAGTGAACATAAAGGAGAGAACAGACAGGTAAAGTGTAGATCCGTAAAGCTGCTGGGAAGAGGAGAAAAGTGGGGAGCAAGTAACAGGGCCATTGAAAGAAGGGGCGGCCCGCAGTGGCCACACCAGCTGCTCAGTAGCCCCCCCCGCCGCAGCCCGCACGCGGCAGGCCGGGCTCTGGCTCACAGCCCACCTTGGACCAGTCGCCCCTACTGCTGGCTAAAACTGAAAGTAGCCTAACACTCAACTAAGTTTAAAAAAAAAAAAAAGGGAAAACAAAAAAGCCAAAAAGCAAACACACAACGAAAAGGGGAAAAAAAAGCAGTGCTCACAAGATCAGTACAAAAGCACCAGGACCTCTGGGGAACGGGTAAGCATCGCAGCCTACTTACTGCTAGGTATTCCTGGGCTTCCATTACAGGAATGCATTTGCTTTTTAGCTTCTCTGGATTTCCACATTCAAAATTACCTAGGAGGAAAAAACACACATTCAAACACAAAGGAGAGGTGGAAAAAAATTACTCTGAAACAGACTAAAAAAATGCAGTGCGAATCAAGCCATCCGCTCTGATGGGGAGCATGTGGCCCCACGGCTCCGGTTTCTGTGGGGTATCTTCACTCTGCAGCAAGATCAAAAGCCACTTAGCTTGGATCGATTCCAGATCATTAAAACCTGACCTGCAAAGCAGTGTGGTGATTTGCATTAAATGACTAAAAAGCTGCCCAATCCTAAGGTCTGTTTGCAATTGATCCCTAAAAGGATCAGACAGATAGCTTTGGAAGGAACCAGAATGGCACTATAAATAAACGCAACCTGGGAAAAAAGAAAGGCAGGGAGGCCATAGGCACTGCAGGGAATCTGACCGGGACACAGGCAGGCGACCTGGAACTCCAGGCCCACTGTTTTGAGGGGCTCTGCGGAGGGATGTCCAAAATGCCCCACAGAGAAAGAGGGTGTCTCTGTGCTGGGCAGTGGGGCCTCAGTGTGGTGCTCCAAGGGGCTGTTCCCTCTTGAGCACCCTGGGTGACCAGCTCCCACCTAGGATGAAGCCCACCCAGGGCCACCTCCTCTGAAAAATCCCCGGCCTGTAGGGGAGTCTTGTTGGACCAAATCACTCTGGACTTGGGGGCCTGCCAACAGCCATTGGCTCTCGACAGCCCGCTATGGTCCACCCACCACATGCTGCTTCCTGTGGGTCACCAGACTCCTGAGAGCAGGGACAGCACGGGGTGGGCCTGCACCAGATCCTGAACCCACACAGAGCCTGACTGCTCTTAACCTGGCACAGCCTAGGGGCTACCAATGGCCAATCTGTGTGCTGGGGAGGGAGTGGCTGAGAATGAACTTTAAAAATCTTGAGAATGAACTAAAGCTTATCCCTCCCATGCCGAAGTTGATCTTGACCTTATGGGACCCCTGAGATCAAGTTGGCTTCTCCTGCCCTGCCCCAATCGCCCTGGCCTGCTTAAGCTTGTCTGGACCACGGCCATGGTCTCCTGATTGGTTTCCTCCTCTCCCCTCTCCCATCCACGTTTGATCAACAAAAGTTTAAAATGATTCTGCTTAAATGGCACTGCTACACTCAAGCTGCTATCACCTTTGTCCTCCCGGCTCCTGGCTCTCAGCACATTGCTCCCCTGCTCAGAAGCCTCCCTGGTGCTCACCGCTTGCGGTGATCAAGCCCCCGTGGCCTGGCATCTACAGCCATCCACTGTGGGGCCCAAGCGACCTTTCCAAACTCCATTCCTTCTGTTTCTCCTTCCCCCGTGAGGCCAACTGCTTCCGTCCCTGCCCCTGTAATTTCCTGCCTCTCTGGCTCCGCCTGCCCCCCACATACACAGAATCAATCCCTCTTGGGCGTCAGGGCCTGGCACAGATACCCTCCCCTGTGCCGCTCTCCTGACTGCTCCAGAGAAAAGGTAGCGTGCCTCCTAGAACTTCTGGCCTCTCGGTTCTCATCCAATCACACCTCGTAACAGCCAGTGGTCAGGGAGGTAGGTGGCCTGTCTCTTCTACTAGACCAGAAGCAGCCTGTGGGCTGCAAAGGCCAGCACAATGCTCTGCCTATAGGTGACCTCCGGGGGGGGGCGGGGAATAGCCTGGTAGAGCCCTCATTCCCCTGCAGTGAGACCCTCACTAAGTGCCTCAGAGGACAGGAGGCACTAGGCTCCTTGATGGCATAAGCCGGGACCACATACGGAGGGCGGGATGGAGGAGAAATGTCTACCAGCATCCACTGTTTAAGACAGAGCTTCTCTACTTTATACCCTAGGGCTCTTTTGAAAATGCAGACTTTGATTCATAGGTTTGGGATGGGTCCTCAGATTCTGCATTTCCAAAAAGCTCCCAGGTGATCCTAATGCTGCTGGTCCCTGGACCACAGCTGAGTCACTAAGGTCTGGAACACCCTCTTAGGCCAGAATTTATATTCCGAGCCCCTGGGCCAGGGAGAAAGGCCCCTGAGTCCTGTGATGCTGTGAGTCCCCACTCCTACTGCTCCTCCAAGCTCACAGACGCCTCCCTGACCATCACCAGTCTCCCACCAGTCAGGAGGCAGTGGGAGAGCTGAGGCCCACAAGACTGGCCCCAAGGGCTGAGGGCCCAGTACAGGCCCATCCAGCCTTGATTCCCTAGCAACAACTTTAGACAAGGCCCCACAGATCAGAGGTACCTCTTGAACATCTCATAAGACTAAATAGCTCCGTCTGGTTCTGGTGCCAGATATATTTAACTTGGGGCACAAGCTCTGGTCATTCAGCTATGCCTTTAGCAAGTGATTCTGAGAGATGTGGGGAGGTGATATCTCTGGCCTCAAAGAACAATTTTCTAAATAAAACAGTAGGGAAACCTTCCGGATGGATGACTTTTTAGGGGCGTATTTCATGGCGCTGCTGAAAATGCCCTCCTCTAGAGTACAGCGCTTACTTTTCACTCTGTAAAAAAAGAAAAAAAGAAAAAAAAAAAAAAACGACCCAAGACCACTTGGTTAGATAGGGAGACAGTTTCTGAGAGGATAAGGGACTTGTCCAAGGTCCTGCAGCCAGATGGGGAGATCAGGACCAGAGGTGACACCAGGGCCCTGGCAAGCTGGATGGACCTGTGGGACTAGCCCACTACTCAGACCCCTGCCACCTGCATAGGCCTCTCCTCCTGGCCTGGCCGACCGTCTGGTACAGGGAGGCCCTCCAGGTCAGAAGACCCAGACTGAGGAGACCTGGGGCCTGGCCCGTCCCAATGCAACATGAACCCCCCTAGAGCATCAGGTGGTGGGCATCCAGAGAAAGCAGAAAGGCTTGTGCATGGGCCAGGACCCCTGGGAGCCTTCAAGGGGATGTGAGAACCAACCGTAGGCTTAAAAAAGATGTGTCTGAGTGGAGAAGCGGGGAAGGCAAGACTTGGTTTTGGAGTATGTCCTCCGGGACATCACCACAGAGCATCTCAGCCACCTGCCAGCCAGCCCCCGCCTGGCCGCTAAGGGTAAGGAGCCCACAACCCTCGAATCTCAGGCCCCGAGCTATGCACTCACCGGCTTGGATGGCCAGGAAGTTGTACAGCTCATGCAGCAGCTCCAGCAAGGCCGCCTTCTGCCTGGCCTGACAGAACTGGAAGGGCACAGGACAAGCAGTCAGCAAGGGAGACAGGGGGCTCCGTCTAGCTGGCTTGAACTCCTCGGCTGCACTGTCAAGTGCTAAGCAGCGAGGAGCCCTTCAGAAGCCACATTCTGCAAAGAGGTGGGCGCAGGGACAGGATGGATAAGTATCGGGTTAACCAGAAAAGCTGAGGCAGAGCTAAAAGCTGCCCCGGCCACTAAGGGTCAGTCATCCTGGAGGCTCCCAGCCTCTGTCCCGCGGCTCTCACTGGAATAGAGGCCATGAGGTGGGGCTGCAGGGAGATGCAGTCGGGCCTCCGAGGCGGGCCAGGCAAATGCCGTACTACTGCAGTCTCGTCTCCCCTCGGGCCACTCCCATCTGTTTTTGGAGACTCAGGTGTCTACATTCTGCCCATAAATCGTCTGCTCTGTCAATGAGCTGCAGCAAAGGCTTCACCTTAGACATCCAGAGTCTAGACATCCGGAAACGACAGGGGGCGAAAGTCATCTGCACGAGAACGCAGCAACAGGGATACAGGCACACCTCGCTCTCCTGCACCTGCAGCAGGACTGACGCCGCTAGGCCGCTAGCTTTAGAACATTTGAACGAAAGGCTGCTCTCCTTGACAGCGAACGGCAGGCCGTGGGTTGTCACGAGTCTGCACTGAATCCTCACCACAATCTTGACCGACCCCAACTTCTCAGATGAGGAGCTCACGGTTTAGAGACCTGCTAGACCCCAAGATCCCACAACTAGCAAGCGCTGGAGCCGGTCGAATCCAAGCCTCCCGCCACCTTCAGACATCCTCTGGGCTGTCACTGCGCAGGACGCCCGACTGACGCCGAGGGCCCGGGCTCGGGGCCTAGCTCGCGACAACTGCAGAAGGAACCACGGTCCCCGTCTTTCTTGGGCTCGCTTGTTGCCCTCACCTGCAACATGTGGGACTTGTTTGTCATAGTCTCAGAGGCCAAGATAGGTCCCCTCGTGTTGCCTAAAGACCCAAAAGCCTTTACAAGGTACAAAATGGCATAACCAAGATTTACACATATGACCATTAACGTTCAGAAATGACTCCCAAGTCTGTAAGTAGAATCGGGTACCCAAACTACCTTTTAAAGACGAATGAGATGGGAAATGTTGATGGTAAGAAATGTAACTGAATGTACACAGAGATTCCAATTCTATAAACATATGTACACAGATGGGAGGGGAAGGAAATGCCCCCAAAATGTCAGTGGCAATTATCTCTTGGTGGCAGAATCATGGCTGATTTTGTCACATTTTTCAAATTTGCTACACTAAACATTCGCTTACTGTCACAACCAGAGAACAACAACAACAACAAAAGTGGTCACAATGAACTCTGTTCCAACTCAATGACATTTAGGGTGATACCACCTAAAGGGAACAGAAGGATAGAAGGCACCAGACCACGAGATGGCCTGCCTGAGACAGCACACCCACTCCCAGCCTGTCCACACGTTTTCAGCAACACAAAGGCAGAAAGAAAAACGCTAAGTGTCATAGTTGGCCGAGAAGGGAAAGAACACGTATATCTAAAACTCCAATGCCCATCTGGGTTCTGGGGGAGCCTGAGCCACACAAAGAATGAGACTTTCCACAAGAGCCTCACCAAAGCCAAGAAGCACCTCCCAATCTGCCTGTTCCCATGTCCACCCTTCACGAAGGCCACTTCACGAAGGCCAAGAGCATCCTGTGAAATCTCAGCTCAGTGGAGCCTGCCGACAATGCCCAGACCCTGCCTTTTGATGCTTGGAGGTTGCAAGTCCCCAGTCTGCTCATTGAGCACATTTTTAGCAAGGCCCCGGATTGTGCCTGTTGGGGCTCACTCAGCTGGGGCGAAGAACCAAGAGATAGAAACCAAAGAAGTCTTACAGACTTGTTTCCTGTTTTTTGCTTTCAGGATTCAAAATTCTAGTTTTCCCTCTGACCACTACCTATTTTCCTGGGCCACTTCCTATAATCATCAACTCTGGTTTTCACGGCACAAGGCAGTTTAAACTTAATATGAATCTGTTTTCACAAAACAATTGAGAGGCAAAGATACTTGGATGAACGCAATAAATGAGTGTAATAAAACACCCCCAAATAATATAGCAGAAGCCAAAGAGAAGATAAAACCTATTATTTCCACCAGGCCACCCCTTTGGTAACATGGGTAAGAAAGTGAATGCGAGACCATGTGTTGTTTCTTTCCCAGCCCCCGGGCTGCCAGATATGGAGCCTGAGGCCTCGGGAGAGGCCTGGCATTGCACAATTAATAATTAGACTACTAAGTCATGCCCTCTGGCAGCAAAAGGCTCCTCCTGGTAGGATTTATGACCTGAAAATTTACTGCCTCCTATCTTCCCCAGACTATTATTACCTGTGCCAGCATCCCAGCTCCCGGCTAATGCTGCGGGCATGACTCATAAATGGATGGGGCTGCTCACCTTCCCCAAAGATTATTTGTAGGGAACATTAAAGCTTCATAAAACAAATCTATAGATTAGGAGGGCTAATTCTACTTCAGATATATTTAAAACAACCTCCCCCCACCCCATGATGTTTCAAATCTGAACAGCACTGCCAGCCACAGACGTACTACCAGAGGGAACGTGGACCTGAGAACCCGGCCTCTGGGTGCTTAAAAATGGTCAGCCCTTCCTCTGGAAGCCAGGGAGCTTGAGAGGTCCTTCAGCTCCAACTTACTGCATCTCCCTAAATTGACTTAGGCAGAAGATCAAAGTCCCCAGAGCTGTGATTGATGGGGAGACCTTCCATAACAAGCCCAGGGTTGGATCTTGGGAGTTCAATTCTCTCTGTTTCAAGTACTCCTTCGCCTACCACAATTGAGTCTGACACAAACATCACAGAACATGATGTGATTCTGGTACATTACAGGAAGCACTCCTGAAAATGATCCTATTATGATCTTTTTCTGGGCCAGTTTACCTCCTGACGGAGGCTAACATCCTCAGGATGTTATACAAAATGAATAACAAAAGCTAGAGAAACTCGGACTCACCTTATCTGTTTTGCTCGCACAGTCCACTGGCAATAACTTCACTGAGACCAAGAAAAGAAACACAGGAAATTAAAAGTGTGGGTTGAGGAAAAGATTGCAAAAAGGGACCACTCTCAAAATTCAGGGGAAGTACAACATTACCAACATAAGGGTGGGGATCAGGAAGATGTCATCTAAATGGGGGCACTTTTAAAATGCAGACAGTAACATGTACAGGTTTCCCAATCCTGGATTAGGAACTAGGGCGAGGACAGCTGGGTCCAAGTCCTAGCTGGAAATGATTAGCCACAGGCTCTTGGGTAACTCAACCACTCTGAACCTCCGTTTCCTCATTGTAAAATGGGATCGATAAAGCTTCCCCTGCTTAACTCAGGGAGTGAACCTCCAACAAGCCAAATATACGTGATGGTTTTGTAAATTGCAAACAGTGATATGTTGAACAGGGATTAGTACCATCATGGGAGGGGTGCTCCAGGTAAATCCCACTATATATCCAAGAGCTGTGGTCTTAAAGCATCTCAGCAGTGAGTATGACAGTATACCGTTTGACGATTGTGGGACCAGTACAGTCCCACAACACTCCGGGTCTACTTAATTGTTTTAATAGGTGGATAAACTGCTCTCATAGCCAAGAAGTTATTTGGGTGTGTGCATGAGTCTGGGATCCCCATGCCCACAGACTTGTTCATATACCCAAACACCCATCTGCTGCGACAGCTAAGACACAATTTAGCTTCTCCCTGCATCTTGGCTGTTCCTGCTAGGCATGGAAAGATGTGGCCGTGGCTTGAGGCTGGGAGCAGTACTAATCACAATGCTTTGCAAAGAGTATCAAAAGTTGGTGAACTCACAATGTCACTTTATACTTATACTTTAAATTTATACACTTTACCCTTTAAATTTATAAAGAAATGATTTCTATGTTTTCTGTTAGACTATAAAGCTCAGAGTTACCCAAGAGGCAGATTTCCCTTCTAAGAAACGTACCAATCCTCAACTATTCAGGAAGCATACTGTTTCCTGCAGACCTCTTACTGGCATGTCAAATCACTAAAGTGTGGACAGAAGAATGGCTGGGAATGTCCTTGACTCACAGAACCCTCTCAGCACACATGCCAGGAGGATAATGCAAGCAAGGATAAACGCCTCCATTTATATCAGTTTAAACTCTTCTGGTGCTGCAAAGCTGGGAACCCAACCAGATCAGATCTGTGGGCAGTGAAACCTGGGGTGCCTTCAAATGGGCACTAATGTGTGAATGAGCAAGAGATCCAAGTTAAGAAAGAACTGAAAAGGAATGGGGGTGGACCTGTCTGTTGGAGAGGGGTGTGGTTTTCTCTAGAGAGGGAAAACCAGAGGTTGAGGTGGAAGTGACTAGGAATGAAGACTGCTTCCAGCACGTGGTTGAAAGGGAGATTGATAGGGAGGGCTAGGGCAGAAAATGAGAACAGGAGAGAGTGAAGACAGAAATTACTGCAGGAACTCCAGCCCTCTCCTCCCACAGCGGGAGGAAGGAGAATCGGGGTCTGGAGGTAAGAAGACAGCCAGAGACATCCGACAAGGCCCGGGATGTGCGCTGAGAGGAACGGGTGGCCGTTCTGGTGGACACTCGCGCGCCCGGGGCCCTCCCCTGCGCCGGCCCGGGACGTACTGTTGTCCTCCGCCTCCTGCGGCGCCGAGGGCTTGCCCATCTTCACCCAGAGGATGCCCAGGAAGACGAGCAGCAGCCCCAGGCTGGCCCAGAACAGGAGCCGGGACAGGTAGCGCTCCAGCCGCCGCCCCGCCTCGGGCCGGGCCCGCGCCGCGCCG